CCTTCAGGGTTCCAACTGGAACAACTTGCCAAGCACTGTACATCCTAAATGTTTTCACTAGAATAGATGTAAAGATTGCAAACTAAGTGTTTAGCTGGAGTGTGTCTGTAACATGTCTTACTAGAAATGGAAGACTTTGTTCCTTAGGTACTTTGTTCCTGAGGTGTTTTAAAATGTAGCACAGAGTTATTGTTCTCAATTCCGAAGCCAGGGTGTGCTTGCCAGAGGGAGCAATTTGGGCTTTGCTCTTGGTCTAATTCAAGGGTCCACAGAGCCACAGCATCCGAGTTAACCCTGCTTCAGCAAACCATGCAGAAACAAACCTAGAACGGGAAGTACGAACCAGACCACTGCTGCTAGAAACCTGACACAACTCCCGAGATTGCACCGAGCAGCGATTACACTATCACATGAACCCTGTCTCGGATGAAAGAAAGTAGGAGTTGGGAAGATTTGGAAGGGGCCATGTGAATTACCAAAGACAGGTTCTGAACGTACCTCTTGACGACAATCTACCATGTGCTGACTACTACATAAAGGAGCAACGTGGAAAGCAAGATGGCAGGCTCCACAGCGACTTTAGAAACACAGGCATGCTCCACATAATGACATTTCAGTTACTGACGGACCACATGCATGAGGGTGGGCCCATGAGATTATAATACCGTATTTTTACTGGACATTATCTATGTTCGGGTATGTTTAGATACACAAATACTTAGCACTGTGTTACAATTGCCTACAGTATTCAGTACACTAACATGCTGTATGTGTGCGTAGACTAGGAGCAACAGGCTACGTCATGTAGCCCAGGTGTGCAGCAGGCTACACCACCCAGGCTTGTGTATGTACACGCTATACTGTTCGCATAATGACCAAACCGCCTACTGGTGGATTTCTCAGAACGTATCCCTGTTGTTAAGCGATACGTGACTATATCATGTAACAAAGAAATAGGGATTCGTCATCGTAACAGTCACAGTGATGACGGGTAGCCAAGTACACCCCACACAGCATGATAATCCATCACAAATGGGACCAGCCCCTGTCGCACATCACAATGAGAACAGGCACCCCTGATTCAGACAAACGAGAGCACATGACCACAACTGTGAAGACAAACATAGATTCAATAACCTCATCTCCTAGATGGTCCTCAAGTAACTGTACCAACTGTATCTTTTTTCCAAGCCAGGAGCCATTGAAGGTTCAGGTATTGTTGTTATATTTCCTGGTCTTTTGAAACTTGGAATAATCCTCCCACCTTTCTTTGTTTCTCCTGACATCGACTCTTTTAGCAGGATCGGGGGCAGTCGTGTTAAAGCAATGCGCTACATTGCGTATCGGCCTCAAGTTTCCTCGTGATCAGATTCAGGCTGAACAACTGTGGCAGGGACACTACACAGGTGTTTCTGTGTCTTTACAGCCTGACACTGAGAGGTACATGACGCCCGGCACACCTGGTTAAGGCTATCACCTTGGCATTGCTCCACCCTCCCTCGCCATTTACCTCTTAACTTTTCCTCCATTATTTTTGCTGAGACACATTCCACAGTAACGTTTTTTTGTGATTGGGATTAATATCTTGACACTAAAACATGCTTCCTATCATGGGTATTTGCTGCCCTGATTAAGGATTACAGTCCACTTGAAAAACCTTTTCATCACCATCAAAGGATTTAAAAAAAACAAACAAAAAAAACCTACTGACAATCCTAGTATATGATTAAGCAGAATTAAGCCAAGAGATTTCTGACAGGTTTATTCAAATAAAATGACATCCCACAAAAAGGAACTTTCCTTTTTTGTAGTTGTTTTACAATAAAATTATATTTTAATATCACTAAACATTATCTTTGGAGGGGAATGGATTAGGCAAACCAGATGACCAAAGTCCTCACCCACTTAAGCAGAGGGAGAGAATTTAACACGCTGTATTCAAGGACCCTGAATTCAGAATTGCAAAACACATTAAAATACCCTGGTGAGGATGGCTTCATGTCGCTGAGATGGAACGGATATTGTTATTAGGTATTTAGGAACAGATATTTTAGCCCCCACAAAAAGACTCCCACTTCGCATCGGAACAGTAAGAAAGGATAATGAATGCTGCGTTCGTTTATCATGAATTAATCATGAGCCTTTTCAGCCCCATACTTCTAATTAGCTCCGGAGTCTGTCAATTTTTTCAGAGCCCTTCTAGCTGGGTCTAAAGAACGCCAATCTCCACTACAGATTAAAATGACAAAAAAAAAAAAGTGTACTTTAAGCATTTTTCTGCAAAATGTACAGTTGTTTTCCAGAGGAATAAAAAACTAAACCTCTACTTAGCAAGTGCAGAAGGCTTTGATAGCTAGGTTAGAAATCAAAGCCACCTGCTGTATTACCAATGATTTTAGAAAATAAATTATTCTTTAAAACATCCAAAAAGTTTGTTTCTGAAACAAACAAACAAAAAAAGGAATACCCGATCCTTTTAAAGAGCAAATTACAGAAATCACAATACAAAGTGAGTCTGTTAAGCTGCTCAGTATTAGCAATGAATACAAGCAGAGGGTTTAAGCCTGCAGGATGTTTCTTTCAGAAGGAGAATCCTGTGCTATAGAGTTTAGCTTAATAGAAAAAAAACAAAAATAAAAACCCTAAAAGGTCATTGTCTTTTTGTTCTCTTTAATTCTTATTCTAACTCAGAGCCCTCAAAGTAAAAGACCATTGCATATTGTAGGAAGAAAGAGAAGATTAAGTTACAGTCTTTTGTTCCATGAAGCAGGGTTCTCGACCTCAGCACTACGGACATTTGGGGATTGCTGGGGTGGGTGCTGTCCCATGCACTGCAGGGCGGTTGGCAGCATCGCTGGCCTCCACCCACTACATACCAGTTGCCAAAGTCTCTCTGGAGGGCAGAGCTTGCCCCGACAGAGAACCACAACCATCACTCCGACTGCATTTTGGAGACCATTAAAAATCACCCTGCAAGCCTCTTGCAGCTCCTGTCACCCTGGCTGGACGAATCATCAAATCTTCATCATATTTGTCCCAGAACAAAGGGGTCATCTCTTACTCTTTATAACCTGCTTATGAAACTATCCTTTTCATCCCTTTTTACAGAGGAGGCGTAGAGAGATGAAACAGTCCCCCGGGAGTGCATGGCCAGCGGTGGGAGCTATAAGCCAAGCCCCGGGGTGTCTGACTCCAGGGCATGGATCCACTTCGGGGAAACTTTTCACAATGATTTTGAGCCAAATATCTCTTCTGAAAGCATCTCCTTACCCATTTCTCTGGGCTTGCGGCTACAGGGAACGACAAAAGGTTGTGATGCCAAAAGTGCCCCCTTGATGTCCTGATGGCAGAGTGTCATAACAGTGCAGGTTTGCCCAAGAGAAGTGGTGTAGGAACAGGGGTGCTCACCAGCAGGGTCTTTTCAACCATGCTTCCCTCGTCCCGCCCCAGGACCTTCGCCACACACGCTCACCGCTCACAGATGAAAGGAGGTCTTCCTCAGGGAGCGACCCTGCTCTGCCCTGAGCTCTCACCTCCACCAGGGTAGGTGCCCTTCCTGCAGGGAGGGACCCTGCTTCCCAGAGGTCTTATCTCCACCAGGGGAGGTGCCCTTCCTGCAGGGAGGGAAGCCATTTTGTCCCTCAGCTCTCACCTCCACCAGGGCAGATGTTCTGCCTGCAGGGAGGG